CTGGAGGACCCACTTTTGGGTCAGACTATACTAACCAAAATTGAGTAGGCCGAAAAATAGGTGTAGTTTAGTGGTTAGCATGCCCGGGCTGTGAATCTGATAGTTCGTTGTTTACGTACCTCTGCCACAAAAACGTGCCCCACACTTTCGAAGCGTGGGCGCTAAAAGAATTGTGGTAAAATCCCACTAAGTCAGTTAAGAGTAGTGCAAGAGTTGGCGTTAAGTGCTGTTTGCTAGCTGTCTTCCCTCTAGTCTAGAAGCTCAAAATTAGTGACGGTTATGAGCAAATAGCCCTTTTTGCACAAACAAATTAATAAGGCCAACATAAGGCAAATGTAACATGTCTCCGCCACCCAATCCCAACATGACCAATTTTGACACCAGAAATATCGCAAACTGTCTAGATCACTGCTTGGGACGTACAAGAAGTTTTTTTTTAATCAGATCTCGTGTAATTGATTGACAGACACATGAATAGTTCATGAAAACCCCAATTGTGCTTTCCATGTTGAAAAATTGAGCAGAAGACAATAAAACTCCAATATTGTCTATATTTATGTTTGGGACCTGCAAAGAGTATATTTGTGCTACACGTAAATTGACCAAAACACTTAAACTTAAAGGTTTATTTAACCTTTTGACTCCCTAAAATGACCAAAAATGAGTATATCCCACATTTGTGTGTGTGTATATATATGGAGGCTGTAAAAAAAGTATCTTTGTACCAAATTCCGTGTAAATTGGCCGAAATACGGCAGAGTCATTGTCAAAAAAAACCCTAAAATATGCTTTTTGCAGCATCTTGACTCCCTATAATTACCGAAAATGGGCAAGTCTGCCATTTTTGTTTGTCAAAGTGTGGGAACTGTAGAAAAGTATCTTTGTACCAAATCCCATTTAAATTGGTCTAAATGCTGTTGAGTAATTGACCAAAAACTCCAAAATTCTTCCTTTTTGGGAACTCTGACTCCCTAAAAAAATTAAAATAAGCAAATCCAACTTTTTTTGCATGTCGGTGTCTTGGGCACACAAAAATTTATATTTGTGTCAACTTTCATCTTGATTGCTATAAATATGACCGTACAAGAGCCCAAAATATTTATTTTTAGGTTGTTTGACTTTTGATCGCGTAAAATCTTTATAAAGGCCTAAATTTAAAAACAAAACATGAAAAGGTGTCCAGGAATATTTGATCAAGGTATAACCCTACTAATTGTTAAGTCATTTCGCCGAGAAATGAAAGAATGGAGGTCGATTGAAAGGTGTTTGGAAGCAGAAAAAGAAACAATGGAAAAACAGTATGTCATTTTGTGTAAATATAATAAGCATTCTAACATTCTACATTGAAATATCCGTGTGTCGAATAATCACCTTTTCAAATTTCTACCAACTTTTTCTTATTACTCAGACACACCAAAACTGCTTTTTAAAACTTGGAACGGCTTAGACCCCCGGTTTTTGCATTTATGTATATTCAGAAGTTTTGTGAGAGATTTTTTTTTGAAAGAGGTCGAATCCAATTGTAAGGAATTGATTGTTTATAAAACGATTGGTATTGTGTGGCATTAAATTCTACTCTGTGCACAGAAGTGACGATGATTTATCAGTCACGTTGCGGTAGGTATCATTATGTTTATAAAAGATATAAAGAGACACACTAAACTATGTTTAACTGTGTGGTTGAATTAAAAAAAGAAATAGTTTGATGACTGAAAAAATTTATGATTATAGTATTCCAACCACACTATATTTGTCATCGGCAATGGATATGACAAACATAGTGTGGCTGGAAATGGAATACAATTATTATACACTCTTTTAATTGTTGAAAATATCTAAAGGACTAGATTAAGAATGTAGTGTTTAAAGTGAGAAAAATCCAGGAATGTGATGTTCATTGAAAAACAGTGTCCATCCCGCTGTACGGATCTTTCATTAATCTCGGCTATTACTTGGTAATTTCATAAAAACTACGATATATTTAATAACTAAGACCTAAAAATCTTAAACGTGACATTATTGTTTGTATGCATCTATCGCTATTGAGTTCAAAAAATGTTATATTGAGTATTTTCATATCTATCTAGTTGATTGTATGCCTGTCTGTCCATTAAGTTCCCGTCTATTTATGTATCTGCTTATATCTTTCTGTTTATTTGCTTGTCTACCTATCTATTTATAATATCCTCGTTTTTCAGGTTACGTCTACGTTTCTTGGAAAAAGAAAAGAAAGATGCATGCACTTTTTGTGCGGATTTCTACCTTTTTCTTTATTTATTGTGTGAAAATAACAAGGTAGGTTTAACAAGGGTTACCTTGTACTACTTTCCATTGCTTATTTGTGCTTATAAAATGCCTCACTATACGGTTTCAGAAAGGTTACAATATTTCGTAACCTAAAACTGCTATAGTGTTTCACCTAAACATATAAATATCTGTATATCTATTAGACGAACTATATAAATGTTTTACTTCTGTTTTGAAACAAACTGTACGGCTCTATTACACGAAACTTACCTTAGAGCAAGCATATACATATTCCTATAAAGGCAGTATAAAGTATACAGATTGTAGAGTTTATGAAAGCGATTGGTAACAGACGTAAGAAACCAATTAAAGTATTGAAATTCTTGGGAGCTCACGCGCACTATAGTGGTACCGGAACGGAAATGAATTTCCCTGGAGAATCGTCCCTATTTATTTTTGTCCTTTTACAAACCACAAAAGAATCTGGTACAAGGAAGCGATAAGCTTAGCTCTTATGATTTGCATTAAGTACGTGAACATGAATATTTAGACTTGATGTTTCGATTCTCAACAATAATTACGACTCTCTTCTGCTTATGCATACAACCAAAGTCAGATTTTTAGGGTAAGACTCTGATAGTTAGAGTTTAGTTTACAAGGAGACTGCTCTAGCTGTGGATGAACTTATACTTCCCACGGTCGTACTAAATTCTTGTTAAGGGGAATGAAGAAAGCGTAACAGGCTATTAAGTAAGAGCGTTTTCCCGCTAACAAAAACGTAATTCCACGCTTCCGAGATTTCTAAAGCTTCACTACATAATCTCAGGAAACCCCTAATACTTGTATTCTAATATATTTCATTTAGAAAAAAGATATTAAACCCGCATCCATTGCATTGTGTAGATATGTATATTTCTTAAATTTTTGTTTGTTGTGCTTTTCTTACTCGGTATTAGATCAATAAAGCGTCTTTCTTGTTTCATTTTGGTCTTTTCAAAATAAACTTTAACTTATAACACATGTGCTAAACGATCAGGTCAAGAGACCCCACGATTAAGGCACAGTCGTCCTTATTTTTCAACTGCTCACTGAAGAGAATACAACCAATCAATAGAACACCGTGTCCACGCGGATACTCTTAACTGAATTGTGAGATTGAGTTTAACAGCTTAAACCGTTCCGCGTCTCAGTGGCTCAAACCGTGGACTTTACGGTACGCTGACAGTCACGCTAACTATTGAGTCATGCCCAGCCCTCAGATAAATTCTTTTTTGGCGCGTCGCGTTGGTTATACTTAAAGGCGTGTGGAAAGTTTCTAGAAAATTCTGATTACGTAACAATACAAAGCTACATCAAGCGTTTACGTACATACATATATTGTTGATTCTTAAACTGGAGAATCTTCTACAACTTTAGAAAATAGGCGGGAGTTTCGCAACACATATTTAACACTATAAGCTATGCATATTTCTAAATATAAATTTAATCTAAACAAACGTTGATACTAAAATAAATATATAATAACAAATCCGTCACAATGCTAGTTGTGGATACACACACACACATATATACACATAGACGATTGTTAAATAATATTTCAGGTTACTTTTCTACAAGATTGATGTATCATTCATAAAATGGTGAAGAAAAAAGTATAAAAGTAAAGACAGATTATCTGTGCCATTAAAGGGTGTAATTTTCGACGCTGGTTTAACTCAGGCTAGTTGTTCGAAACAAAAAAAATAGTTTTAATTATTACTATTACATTTTAATCACCAGAAATCATTGGCTGTTCGGGGTTCGATCCATGCTTTGTGTGTGGGCCCGGCATGGCCAGGTGGTTAGGACGCTCGACTCGCAATCTGCGGGTCGCGAGTTCGAATCCCCTTCACACCCGTGGGGGCGTTATAATGTGACGGTAAATCTCACTATTCGTTGGTAAAAAAGTAGCCCAAGAGTTGGCGGTGGGTGGTGATGACTAGCTGACTTCCCTCTAATCTTACACTGCTAAAGTAGGGATGGCTAGCACAGATAGCCCTCGTGTAGCTTTGCGCGGAATCTATAACAAACAAACAAACCATGCTGTGTACAACTTTACTCTTAAATAAACAGTTTCTGTTCGCTTACGTGCCTTCTTTGATTAATATACTGTTTAATTTTAGTAGATGAAAACTACAAACTATCTGTTCTTATCAAATAGGAAACTAAAAACATTATAACAAATCTCCGTTATACTAAGATAGAATCCACGATATCATAACATATGAAAAATTACATATAAATCTATCCTTAGCTAGAGATTATTACAATTTATAGTTCTGATAACGCTCATATTTTTTCGATAATACAATATTAAGGTCACAATAAAGATTACACAATTCTTTATAACGAGTCCATCTATGTCTTTATAAGCTTTATATTAGATTCAGAGGACTAGCAGTACAACTTCAGTATGTCTTTATTATACTCTGTAAAGGATGATATCAGAAGACATTAAGACTAGAACTGTCCCTGCTAGCATGGAGGAGGCATGGAATTCCATTGTCTCTCTCTTTAGAGTTTTTTTTTTTACATCTGCAAATAACGATGTGTGCGCTGCCGAGAAGAATTAAAGGATAATCGGAATGTGCAACGTAATAGATACGACAAGGCAAGTGTACTCTTATAAATAACACGGATCCCTCTTCAGCTACCTATTTTATGCAAACTAGACATTTGGCGATCAATCGTGTGATTTAAAATGTCATTAACTATTCGCTCTACATACGTTCATAAATAAACATCTCGTAAATAAGATTTTGTATCTTTACAATTCACGACGGCAATCTGAGGGTCGCGGGTTCGAATCCCCGTCACACCAAACATACTCGCCCTTTCAACCGTGGGAGCGTTATAATGTGACGGTCAATCCCACTATTCGTTGGTAAAGAGTAGTGACTAACTGCCTTCCCTCTAGTCTTACACTACTAAATTAGGGACGGCTAGCGCAGATAACCCTCGTGTAGCTTTGCGCGAAATTCAAACCAAACCAATTCACGACATTGGACTTCATTATTTGAGCATCGAATAGCAAAGTCAGACTGTCACCGGTGGTTTTTGCTTAAAATCATAGTGTTTATAACATTCTGAAATATCCCCAACCACTCGTGTAATAGAGTGGTTTTCTTTAGTGTCATCCCAAACTTGTTTAATGGGACTGAAGTCATACGATGAACACGAATACTACTTCGTTCCGGCCATTCTTTCTTGGATCGAGCATGGTCTAGCGTTATCTGACTGAAAACTTGAGGGTCCGTGGCTTGCATGCATTTGCAAAGAATAATAATTATAATAAAAAACCCTTAGGGCCGTAAATGTGTTATAAGAGAAAGTGTTACTAGTTAATTAGAGTGGCCCAAGATTTGGCGTTAGATCCTTTTGACTAGCTGCCTTCACTCTAGTCTATCAGTTCAAAATTAGGAGAGTGTTTATCTTAATAGCTCTTGTGTAGAATTGTGCGAATTTTCAAGGAATGTGTCGATCAATTAAACATGAAGGGATGGATATTATCACCAATTAGACTGACTATTGTGGTAATTTCAACACATTAAGAAGCACAAATCTTTGATCCCTATTACTTGTGACAGTAGTGGTGCTATTCCGCAAGATGTAGAAGTTGGAATGTTCACCAGCGCTTATTTCTGCTCGAACAGTACTTCAACTTCCACCATATTTATTTACAGCACTCTATGAATATGGGTCGAATGTGGTTCCAGATTCTCTCCATCCGAGTCTAAGCGTAGTAACTGGATGCAGGGGTCTTAGCGTAGTAACTGGATGCAGGGTAGAATAAAACTCGTGTGTAAAAAGAATATTCTTCCACGTGTTGCTGGTCCATTGGACGTGCTCTTGGCGCCACTTTTGGATACAATGTTGTGCGTTTTACTATGAATTGAATGCACATCATAAGCTATTCTGGCATATAAGCATAATGAAGCTAAATAATGAATAATTTTTCATTGCTTTCAATAACTTCAAGAATTGAAAAAAATATGTTTGCAACAAAAATTCCTTAAGATATTTCTATCCAAAAAGTATAAATTGCTACATACGTAAAAGTCGTTCAACTGATAGTTATGAGTAAGATATTCATAATTAATTACAAGGGCAACCTATTAGTGTTGATGGTTTTCAGTTTATTTTATTTTATGCAAGTGTTTATTTTAATGTGTTAGAAAACTTTTGTCTATGTTTTATACTGACTCTTGACAAGCTAACTGAAATAACAAAGTGTGAAGTTTCAATCACAGCCGTTTAAAGGATAACAGTTTATCTTAACAGGCAAGAAGTTCTAGAATTTGATAACATCTTACCGGACAACCCACTAGACTACGACAACCTCCAGCCACCAAAAGAAAATGGTAAGTGTGGAAAACGAACGTCACAGGAAATTATTTACGAAAAAAACAAAATGGGTATCTATATAAATATAATAGTACTGTCTGTTGTATTTACATGTAACTAATTTGCGGGGTGTGGATAACTCTTCACCAAAATCAATATGGAGATTCATTAGGTCTACGCAGGGGTACTTACAAATTTTCAGTTTTGCATTTTGCGTTTTACGTTTTCTTTTTTTTGCCGTTTTTGAATTTTTTACCGCTACTTCGTTCCCTGTTGATATTTGTTGGGTTCATGCAGAGAAACATGTAAATTTGCGGTTTCACATTTTGTGTTTTTGCAGTTTTTATGGGCGTTTTTGCGTTTTTACAATTACTTAAGAGGGAAGCAACTTTTCATGTCCTAAGATAACCTTTCATT